TAGAATAATACTTTTAATTTATGTTACAAAATAATATATTATATATATATTATATAATATATTGTATAATATATTAAGGTGAACAAAAATTTCGTGCGTTTATTGTGTTGATACTTTACATTGGGAAATATTATAATAATAAAAAAAAAGAAAAACTGCACGAACTTTTGGTGTTCACACACTTGAAAATACAATAAAATATATATATTATTATTTTTTTTAATTTTTAATATATAAATATAATATATATAAATATTATAAATTTAAACATAAAAGAACACACATCTCTCGAAACATCGTAAATGTTAACATTCGCGTTAATATTCTGATGCTCAACGAGACTCACCTTAATTTCAACGCTAACGAACGCGACTCTGATAACATGTTTCTTCCATATATATGTATATGTATATTATACACGTATATAATTATACATATATTTATCTAGACTGTGTTTGGATTTCATTTCAAAGCACTCCCTTACTTTATGGTTATATTTTTGAAAGAAGAAACTACGTAGGAAACATTTGGCACATCCAAAAAAGGTTATTTGCGATATTAAATGATATTATTTATTTATTTAGTATGATATAAATGTTGTTTAATATTATATGTTTAAATGTAGTTATTCTTTAGATTACGTCACTATGAATACGTATATGATTTGGTAAATTACGTGGTCAGTTTCTAGCGATTTCAATTAATTAATTTCTCTTTCTCTCTCTCTCTCTCTCTCTCTCTCTCTCTCTCTCTCTCTCTCTCAGTTTCTCTTCTATTCGTCTCGTTTAAAGTACGTAACTAAATTATTCTACGAGAGTTTATGGAAATTTGTTAAATTAACACATAATTATCGTGCATACCACGTTTATCCTAATCCATTATGAAAGTTCAATTACAAAAGAGTAAACGTTTAATTATACGAATTGATTATATTATAATAATTAACATATCAATTCACATACATTCTTCTTTTTCTTTATTTTTTATTTATTTATTTATTTATTCATATCTCGTAGAGATCTGTTATATTTAATAAATTTATGGTGATATATTGTAATAAGATATACGAAATATTTGGTATTATTGGAAAATATTATGGATTGAAATATTATTGATATATATTGGAAATATTATGATATTTGTAAATTTGAAATTAATTATACGAAATGGGCGGTGGTGGAAGAGAAGGGGAAGAATTTAATCGTTGTTAGTTATACAAAAAAAAAAAATAAATATTTTCAAAATATTCATTTAATTGATCAATTATAATAAACACAATTGCAATCATTGATAAGTATTATATTATCTTGATAAATATATTTTTTTATTTAAAATAA